ATCGTCTAGACTGTCGCATACTACTCTCCAAGTTGAAGCATTATTGGATTGGCGATCCCTTTTAAGCTACATTTCCAACTTGTAACTTAAACGGCAATTAGTGATCCGAGTTCGGAGCTCGTTAGCCGACCCATACAATTCAAGTGGTTTGTGCCGAACTGCTCAGTTCTAGGTCCACGTTTATTTTTATTGTTTATTAATGACCTTGCACAGGGACGCTTCACACCTAATGTTTGCCTAGGATATCAAGATTTGGCGCAGGATTCAGGTAAACGTCGACCAGCATCTGCTTCAGAGTGATCTGGATACGGTATATCATTGGTCAACCCAAAAGTTACTGCATTTCAACATTAGTAGGTGCAAAGTACTTTCTATCCGAGATCAGAGCAGCTACTGATAGCGGCTCGGAACGAATGTACTGCAACAGGAAGCTGTCGAACGAGATTTAAAGGCTCTAGTTTAAAATGACTTGGGTTGCTCCAGGCAACCCGAAAAGGCCTCGAATACTGAAAACCAACAAGTCGGGTTGTTGCGACGGACGTTTGGACAAATAAACAGCTCCAAATTTCGACAAAGACTCAGTGCTTATGTCCGCCCCATGTATAATAAGAATACATGCCTGATATCCATGGCTGAACCACGACCTGAATGCACCGGAGCACCCACAACGTCGGGCATCTAAGAAGGTAATTGGAATGCGCAATCTTTCATACCAAGGGAGGCTGCAACAATCGGGGTATTCAGTTTAACCTATCGCAGACTACGAGGCGACCTGATTATGGCATACTTGATTCTGCGAGACCCACATCCTGTGTGGTGGAGCTGTACGCTTTCGGGCGCGTCGCCAGGTTGCAGATTGGGAAATGCCTTCTTTGTGGAGGCAACTGCGAATAAGTCTCGTCTGCTTTGCAGGCGAGATGAATAAGCAGTCGAGGACAATCAGAGGCAGCGCCTCAGAGCGTTGGGGGTTCTGGGCTCGTCATCTGGTTTTTCATCAAATACCACAAGATCTGGTACAGCGCTGTGTCATAGCCAATGTGACAGGCTATAGGGTCACTGACCACTCACTTCTGTAACTGGAGGCGAGTATTTAACGGATGGCGGATGAAAAACCTTGCTGACCACAGACTCCTCTGTGGATTGCAACCAAACACAAAGAGGGCGAATGAGCTACCTGGCTGTCAACGGTCTTCGTATTCGCCCCATTGCCTTGCGCATCAGGTCTTTAAGACCAAAGACCCGGGATGTGGTCCCTCGGCCTGGACAACCAGGAAGCTCACTGCCCACACAACACATAGATCTTTGCATCTCTTCCCCTGACACTCCCCTCTCCTTTTTGTTGCTGTTACTCGTGTTGTGGCACTCTACCAAATGATTATCGGTAAAGTGTTATATATATATATATATATATATATATATATATCATGTGAGCTGCCCTTTACTACTACTCGGCACCAATACAACCCTGAGGAGTCACACATTGAAACTCGCTGTACAGTATTGCCGCCTGGATTGCCCCAGATATTTCTTTCCCATTCGTGTCTATCACCCGTGGAATGCTGTCCCAGAATAGATCATCTCTGCGCTTACACTAACAGTACTAAACGACGGTTGGATGACGCACTCGTCCACTTATGCTTTACCACTTAATGCTACATCTCCATTATACACCTGGAGTTTACCATAGATTTATTTGATGCTAAATGTGGATGCTGTGAATCTAAGTGGATATCAGGACTATAGCGAAGCAAACGATATGTCCTTAATTTAATATTTAAAGTACTAACTGTTTTACTACTATTATTATCATTATTATTATTATTTCGATATCCCTACAAACTATCCATCGGGACTTGTAAATCAATGCTTCTTAATCCGTTTAAATTCATTGTTCAAATTCCCCGTTCATTAAACCACTAACTTCGTTACCGTCCCACACTGAAGCTGGTGTCATAATCCCCAAGCTGTTCTTTTCTAAGCAGGTGTTATAATGTACGCGGTGTGTGTATGAGCTACACCTTTTTGATATCATCGTGTGGTTTTTAGCTTTGAGAAATCCTTTACCCCATTCTATTACCAATATTTCAGAAATTTCTCTTTATTACTTACAGCCCATCATTTGTATATTTGATAAAGTAACAACGGAATCGCTAATGTCTCATATGTGAGTTAGCTGAACTGGAATCTGCGTTGTACTGAATTATGCGGCCAAGTTAATCCACCTAATGGTTAGAGTATCCACCAAGACTTCCGCAAACTTTGCAGTTTTCCAACCCGGAAACTGCAAGAGGTCCGAGAGACCTGTGTACATAACTCAGTATTTTTCCTATGGCTTTTGTTCCAATGCATCGTTAGAGCTGGTTCACAAGCATCTTTGTAGTGTTACGATTTAACATTCCCTGTATAGTACGCTCTGGTTGTCTAAGGTGCAGCTTAGATGTGAATGTTTATATTGATGGATAGAGAATTTTTGAACCCCTGAATATTGTGATATCTTGATTTATGCGCAATCTATCGAGTCTAAACTTCTTAGATTTTGAGACCACAGCCACAAAATTCAGTTTGAATATTTGTCCTTTACAAATAAGCTCAAACCATGCTGATAGGCTTGGTTGCCTAAACTAGTTTATGGTTGCAGGAATATGCAATCATAAGACGATAGTAGTTATTTGAGATGGATAATTTTGAGAATATACCTATTTGAAGTGCGGCTTTTTCTAGCGTGGAACACCCAAGTTTCATTGGTTACAGAAATTATGGCCCCAGTGATCGCATTGACCAATATCCCCTTAACTGTGACTCGAGGTCTGTACTGAGATTGCGCATCACAATTTAGTCACCTAACAAGTACTTCAAAATGGCCCTTCAATCAATCACTACTCGGTGGTTCAAGTAGTATAGGTCCCAACTAATTTTCGGTGTTCCGACTTAATATCTGCTATCTCTACCTGCTTGGATCAAATGAGATAGAAACGCGCCGTGCAGTGCAATATTTACTGAGTTCATTTTCCCATGATCCATATGAACGATATATCTGGGCTCCTCCGTTCGCCTTGCGCGTTGTTTTCAAATGACTCGAATGTGCTGAGAGCAATCAGTCCACTAGATAACTGTGGCATGCTTCAGCGGGACCTTGACCGCATTTCCACGTGGTCTGCAGAGGTCAACTTCCCGATAAACTCGGCCAAATCGCCATTCATGAGATGGACACGGTCGAACATACACTGGGGCTGGCCAACCGTTGCATCTCGCACCTTTGGTGAGGGACCACAGTGTACCCTCGCGCTGCGACTTAAAGTCCTTTGGCAATACAAATAAGCGTTATCAAAACGGAGTTCCTATTCTTTGGGCGCTCAAACGCAGATACAGCTCTTATCCTGAAGAGACAACTACTCCCATCTTTGTCTCAATCATATGACCAGTGCTATGGTACGGCTAACCTGCTTACTAGCCTATGTCTCGGTTCTAGACAGAAAGGATTGTGAGGGTATGGTACGTGGCCACCAGGCTCATCCTCAATTGCTGGGTATGCCCTACGAAGACAGGTGATGGAGATTAAGACATTACCCCGTATCTTATCATCGATTGCCAGCTGGCCTCATCATGATGCACCGGATATTACATCTTGTTGATTGCCCCATGTTGACTACGATGCTGCATATGCCACACCAAGCAGCACATGAGGACACCGGTACAAACTTTTAGTACAGAGTTTGAAGCGGGTCACCCACTAACTCTGTTTCAAACGGAGGATAGTGAATGCATGGAACAACGTTTCACAGCAAATAGTAGAGGCAAAGTCAGTGTCAGAATTCAAGAAATTTCTATACAAACACTTTTCCGATATGATGTATCGCGAACGCTCTCTAATATACCAGGTTATTTTACCTGAGTGATTTTGGACGCAGCTACACACATATATCCTTTTTTGCTGCTTCCAGCCAGTATTCAGTATTTACGATTCTTTTAAAGCCCAAACCACCTCCATAGCCAAATTGCACTGGAACTAAGTTCGATTGCGACACAGTGTGGAAAACCTTGTTCAGCTGCTCTGTTCATTCTTATAAAATCCCTTTGTGACTTGTGTGTCCAACATTGCCTTGTGGCCGCAGGTTTGTGTGTTCAACCTCGTAAAGGAAAATCGATATCTATAACATATCCAGATGCGTGCTGACAGTCAGGCAAGTTTCAAAGTTGAAGAATTTCTTTTGATTTTCACTCGATTACTACAGATGCACAAGCTCATGGTTGAGTTGCAGGGAGCTGGGATCGATAAATATTAGGTTCAACAGGATACCATCTGAACAGTATATGAACAGCTTCCTTGATTTGAGTCGAATGGTTCACGAATTTGCCTTACATGCTGACGATCAATTCAGCCATAATTCACCCTTTCGCGCACAGAGGTCATTGTAGTGAAACGCTATCACCGGCTCGTTCCACAGCTGCACAGGCATTTTTCATGATCCCTGATGCATGCAGTCCGCTGCAGAGACAATGCCCTGTATAAAGAAATCACTGACCGCGGTAATTTTTTTCTTTCTTTGGATCAAAAATTTATAAAATGATTTTTTATCGTCACCCCAGAAATCTATGAGCGAAAGGTTTAAAGAGACCACGAGACACCTGCCACAAATTAGGAAGTGATCATTAAAACAACACACAACTTAGAGCTTAGATCATTAAGAAGCAACTACGTTGGAATTCGAATTTTTAATGGATTACAATCACTCACCGAGACAAGAGATACATTGCGGGGACATTGAGTCAGCTCATCTCTCTCGACTAAACAAGGGATTCGTCCTTTCCTTTGCACTTGTGTAGAAACCTTCGTCGTGGTTAAAGTAGGACTTACATTATCGTTTACAGAATTGGCTGGATCTGCAAGATTACCCGCTGAGCGACTCTGTGATATCTTGTTTGTCGATGTGAATTTACGCTCTAGTGCCGTCCATACTTGACGAGCTCTATCAGTGAATAAGATCAAACCTCCATTTTTCATGACAGGTTCGGTGTTGGAGAAACTTCTAGAAGCTCGTCTTGGTTGCAATGTTTGTGATCGACAGGACTGTTTGGCTGCAGTCATTATATGGAAACCTTTAGACTTTGTCTTCTTGAGGAGCGGTACATTCCAGTCGGATGCTGGTGAACTTTGCTCCGATGGTGACGATGTTGCGGACGAGTCCCTTGAGGGCAAAGAATCAACTTGGGAGCTGTTCACACAATCTGATCGAGGTAGCATATGCTTGATGGCGTCGCTGCTCCAAGAGTTCTGGATCCGGTTCACGGAACTGGAACATCTGATCTTCCGCTCTGATGGACCTCGAACCATTTGTCGGGGACTAAATACAGGGTTATCCCGTACACACAAGGTTGGAGATTTGGTTGGCTGTACATTGCAAGTGAGCAAGACCCTGGGAGATTTGCAGCATTCCGGTGAAGCACAGTATTGTAATTTACAAATTGCAGGAGATAAAGGAACCACGACGGACTCCGCTGTTTGACTGTGCAGGTCGTTCGTTATGAAAGCGTATGTGGTTTGTGCTATTGTGGCCATATTCGTATAGTGTTAGCGTGAAATGCTGCGTGGCTGGGGTGAAAATATGGAAAAGTGGGAAGTAAGACATGTTTGCATATATATGATTACCTGGGAAAAGTTAGTGATAAGCAGAGGAAAATGACTGGTCAAAAATCAACTCCTATTGGGTTTGCTGCAGGTAGTTGAACCGGATCAAACTGCCTTGACTCTCCGTGTGCACTAGCTCTTGTCAATGACTATGAACCCATTGCAGCAACTCAAAACGTACCGATCGGCTAACAGTTAGATAACAATCGATAACAAGTGAAGTAGAATGCTGGACATATTATTTATCACACGTGTGTGTGTCTAAGGAGAACGCATGTACCTGTGACTCTATCTCTTTCTCTGCGCTTATCTAATTTTTTTTCAAAAGTATCAAAACGACTCATTGTCTCCGAGTTGTGTGAATACTCGCACAGCGTCGCTGGAGTAAGGCACAACAAAGAACAATTATGTTAATTCCCAACACCAGCACAAAGATACAATTGTTTGTTTATGGGTCTGAAAAATTTTAAATACATAGAAGAAATGAGTCATTTTATGCCTTTTACACTTCCTGGATATTATACCACTGAATGCCGGCCAAGCAGATATTGTCACGCAAATACCATGGCTTTATTCGTCAGAATGTTGGTATTCTTGTGGGCGGTACCTTTAAATCGGCCGTTGACGTTTTTGCCCAACAACATGTTTACATTATCTATTGTATATATCTCAGTATTGCACGAGTACCCCGGCAGATATTTTGCCCAAACAACTTCCAAGGTGACTAAGGCACTTTGCCTCATCCACATTTGAACATACATGCCAGATATCACGCGCGATCTGCGACTTATTGTCTTTGGACACTAAATTTACATCAACTGAATCGAATATTGAAAAAACATTTTCCGGAAACCTTTTCCGTTTTCAATGGATCCAAATCCCGAAGATTTAGTCCCGCTTTTTGCAGTCGTTTCTCGATCGATTAATTACAATGAACCTTCAATTTTTCACACATTGTAAACTTTACGTTGTTAATGGTAAAGTCTGAAAAGGCAACCTTTTGGGTACATAAAGCTTATACTGACTTGAGTTGACTTGATTCATTGACCTTAGCAGCTCTCTAAACTGGTTTGTTTCATGCTGTGTAGAAGTAGATACTTCGAAAAATTAGTTTATCTGGATTGCTAATACGTTAGCAAGCAAAATGCTTATGGTCCTAACCGAGTAAGAACTCCTGATTTTAACATTTTGAGTCCTGAGTTCATTTACCCATTGTTCGAGTTGAAGCAAAATGTTACTCCCCATCCTGAGAGTAGGGTATCGGAGCTCTGGTTTTACTTAATTGTCGACAGATAGATTGTCAGTAATCTCGCGAGTACCGGCAGGAGTGAATTTTGCACCGAAGCAATATTACAATTTAAACAGTGCTACATATTAGTACCTCCAGAACACAAACGGTTAACTAGTCAGCTCCAGTCAAACAAATCAAATATGTTTGTTATGCAGGAGGATACATAGTTTTGTGCTCACATTCTATATGGCTTGCACTGATAGAATTTACTGCTACAATTCTCATCAAGCACCCTTGTGCTTACACTCATTCGGTTCAGCTGTACCAGCGCTACATAATGTACACAATCTTTCGAACCCAGATTGTGTGCATCATCTTTCACTTCCTCACCGCAGTTTTTGCGCTGTTCTCGCAGAAACCTACACACAAAATATCCCGAAGCGCGAGCCACATAAATATATTTGTGGTTTTAATCGAAACGAAATCCGTGATACATACCACGAGTCATAAACCACAGAAATCCACAACAAAGACCGTTAATTATCAGCTTTTTTATCCCTTAGCTCTCAGTCGCTTTGTTTAAACTTGGAGGCGATTACAAAGCAAACGTCCTAGCTGTTTAAGCCTGCCCCGCAAGCCCAGTGACGCACGGTAAGTGCTTGGAGGTGTCGAACTTGTAAATACAAACGATTCGTCGTGCCGTTTACAGCGAGGCAACCATACGCGCTAGGCCGTTTCCCTGAAACTCACCGATCGAAGTAACCACCAATCACACGTCTAGTTTGCGGTGACTGCAATGAAATAGCAAGTGGCTAGTATTCATGCTAGAATATTGTACGGACGGCTTCCAGTTTTCTAATTGCTCCAGCATGTTTCATTCTGGGTGTTTCCAGCCCCAAGTTACCGAGATGAAACTACGCAATAGAAGACCACGTGCGCCGTGATTCTGCGCAATGTACCTTATCATTCCAATGATTAAGCTTGTACGTAAACTACCGCAGACACATGAACGACTATTAGAAACGACTGTGCAAGTGAAGAACACAATATTCGCCTTATTAGGAGAACGCGTGTAAGAGAGCAAATCCCGGTCCAGCCAATTAGGCTCCACTACAAATCTGAGAACAGAGGTTGGACAATTCGGTAAAAATGTGTCATCCGTAGCTTTGAATTTCCACATCAACAGTGGTCTGCCTCCATCCAAACAAGGACCGCCAGTCCGATTGGAATAAATAAGATCATGGCCTCGACCACCCTACAAACGGTAACAAAATTTCAGTAGGACCAAGTCAAAAGTAGGGGTTGGAACATGTTTGCAGCCAGAACCACAGGATACTTAGAAAGTGGTAAGTAAGGAAAGTAACTCTGTACTTATACGGTTTCCACCAGTTAGATGCAGTCCATACTCATGCAGTCATACTTAAACCGTGTTCCACAGACAGTCATTACGAGACCACATATTGTACCATCCGTAATATACACTGACTTTCCATAATCGAAATAAGGTTTATTTAACGGAAAGTAACCCCATGTTGCGAACCAGTGGAAGTTCATATGTTACATGCTAGGTTTGTGGCTAAGCCCGCATAGTTGACACCCGTCACCTATCACCCAAGCTCAGAGTACTAGGGTTAACCGATATTTCTCCGAAATGTATTAACCCGCCGATGAAGCAGTATCTCTTCTGGTATCGACAACTCGCCTACTGAGTGGGTCACATGCTCGCGTCACGTTCTTCCTCGATATTTTGTAGGGCGCGGGCAAAAATTAGGGTACCTTTTAAAAGCATACCGAAGGGGTTCCACAACCAAGACCTTATTTGTACATGGTATTCCTAAAGCTGTAGAAATGCGAGCGCGAAGCGACCACCCACAACCAGCGAAGTTGGCTCTACATTCGCGCATTTTAACTAACGGCTGCGCAAAATGCCAAATTAAGAAAGATATGGCCCAAAGATTGTGAATCTGGTAATTTAAGCGGGACATGTTATTACGGGTATTGGAGTGATGGTATGTGGGTCACAACAGCTTCCGTTCCGAACTCCAAAAATATGCACAGTTCCCTAAGAAACCACAAGCGTGAAGCCACTTAGTCGAACAACTTCACGAGTACGGTTTGTATAACATCAATCCGCTGGGAGATAAAACTGCTGAACATATGCTATACGTTAATTAAAGAGTGAGGTGTAAGCAGGTAAAGGCAGGATCCCTGTATCTGACACAAATGTGTTCTGCAAGGCCCAACCTAAAAAACGATTGGTGACCGAACTTTAACTTAGCAGTACATCACACACAATACAAGTGTCCCCCGACTCTCCGCTCAGATCAAAGTAACAAGCTTTCCAAACTCCTGCTATTTCAGGCATCATCATTTTTCGTGAAGGTTATTTGGCTGCACTCAGAACGTTTTGACGACATGGTCGCGACACATGGTATGTCCCTGTTCGAAACGATCACCCCTGTAAAGACAGTAGCTTAGTTTTATACTATCGCTGTGACCTACAGTGCGTATCCGCAGACGATCCGGAAACATCGCTCATTTACTCACACTGTTACAGTCTGCGACTGAGAAGCCACGACACTTGATTTTTGGCTTTTGTTGATCGTACCACAGTGCCCATCCCAGTAATGGATCCAGTCTAACGTGGGTCTTGAGGAGTGACCTGCGACGTAAGTAAAACCATGTTCTCAAATCAAGTGACTTCAAATTTCACTATCTGGAAGATCCGGCACCAAAATCGAGCAAGTTGAGGTCGATTTGCAGGAACTTATTGAACAATAAACACTGAACAATGATTTATGCTGGGTAAAAAAGCAATTGCATGACAAGTCCCGAATGATGGTAGGGGTGAACCTGCAATTACCAAAATATCGGTAAGTTGTCTGTTCGAGCGTTGAGCTAACAGATACGCTGCTAAATACTAGTAGTGATAGTCAGAATTTATAGCGAACGACAAGAGAAAATAACGACAGTTATAGTGTTTGTACTCCATGCGAAAAGTGCAACGAGCATATTCCTTTATGTACCTGCTCCTCAGATTTACTTAAAGGTTAATCCGGTTTGGAGAGATAATTAATATGTTAAAATATGTGTTACAAAATAGCACAGATTTGGCAATGAAGTGGTGGAGGACAAGTGAAAGAGCAAATCGATTTTCGAAAATATCCAATGCAGGGAAAATACAACGGTGTTTAGGAGAGAGTTCAGGGTTATTTGCAATACACGTGACCCATGCCTATATGCGTAGTCACGTCTATGGCGTAATTGAACAGCGTAGTAGTTTTCCACATTGTACCGTAGTGTATTTAGAACTGACCAACTTGAAATCGTGTTGACAGCACACTGGAACATTTCATGGTCCAACCTGAATGTACCGCCATCACATTACTAGATAAGTTTTCAGACGACCAAGACCAAAGGAACTCATTGTGCGTGCTGATAAGTGTAAAACCCAAGCCCATAAATCTATTACGAATTACTTGTCATCCCAAATCGCCACGCAACGGAGAACCCAGACTTATTCGGGTAACACTAGAATCCTCCATCGACGTGGAAAACGTTTTGCTCTCCGCAATCGCGCTAGAACACGGATCCTGTGGGATACGCATCTATCCTTATGTCCCTTGGAGCGCGAGACAATCAAAAGC